CAGGGCTCTCACAGAATCACAGAATGTTCAAGGTTGGAAGGGACCTCTAGAGATCATCTAGTCCAACCTTCCTGCTCAAGCAGGGTCACCCAGAGCATGTGGCACAGGGTGGCATCCAGGCAGGTTTTGAAGACCTCCAGAGAAGGAGACTCCACAACTCTGTCACCCTTACTGTTAGCAAATGTCTTCTTAAGTTCCTGGGGAACTTTTGGTGCTTCAGTTTGTGGCCGTTTCCTCTAAGTCCTATTGCTGTCCACCACTGCAAAGAGGCCGCCCCATCCTCCTCACTGCCTCCGTTGAGGCATTTAGAGACACTGCTCAGGTCCCCCCTCAGCCTTCTCTTCTCCAGGCTGAACAGGCCCAGCTCTCTCAGCCTTTGCCCACAGGGCAGATGTTCCAGGCCTCTGATCATCCTGGTAGCCCTGCGCTGGACTCTCTCCCGCAGCTCCACATCCCTCTTGTACTGGGGAGCCCAGAACTGGACACAGTCTCCAGATGTGGCCTCACCAGGGCTGAGTAGAGGGGGATAATCCCCTCCCTCGACCTGCTGAAGACGCTCTTCTTAATGCACCCCAGGATCTCATTGGCCTTCTTGGCCACCAGGGCACACTGCTGCCTCACGGTCATCGTGTCATCCACCACAACACCCAGGTCCCTCTCTGCGGGGCTGCTCTCCAGCAGGTCAGTCCCCAGCCTGTCCTGGTGTCCGGGGTTATTCCTCCCAAGGTGCAGGACCCTGCACTTGCCCTTGTTGAACCTTGTTGAACCCTTGTGAGGTTTCTCACCGCCCAGTTGTCCAGTCTGTCCAGGTCCCTCTGGATGGCAGCACAGCCCTCAAGGCTATCAGTCCTCCCAGTTTGGTATCATCAGCAAACTTGCTCAAAGTAATTTTGAGCAAAGTTGCTCAAAGTAATTTTTCAACTGGTGTTTAAGTGGCAACTTAAACATTTGCAAGCCATATTCAGACATTAAACTGCTTGGATTATTAGAAAACTGACTGTGCTGATTAGAAAATATGACCTTCGAAGACAACTTTGCACAAAAGAAGGGCAGTGTCCCACCAATCTTGTTCTTGTAGGAACTGTTCACAGGAGGCTGCAGCTCAGCACCCTGCTCTTGGCAAATGGCTGCAGGTGCAAGATGTTAAAGACCAACGTCTGCTGTCTGTTGGCTCTCAGCTCCCTTGAGTCCCAGGCCCTCTCCGTGCCAGGACTTTGGGTGGCCTGCATGGAAGTCACCCGTCCTGCAAGGTCCGCAAGAGGTGCCTCGTTGCCAGCGGGAGCAAACACGCTGTGGCTTGGCATGAGCTTCAGGAGCGGCGAGACGCATGGAGGGAGCACAGTCTGGGCAAACTCATGCACGCCGGACCCACAGCAGAGTCCAACCTCCTGCCTGCCCCTCTGCAAGTTGGGGACATGAAGGCTGAAGACGGACGACGACTTCCCGGGACCCTCCCTGGGTCAGCAGTCTGTGGTCTTCTCCAGTCACCTTTTCCAGTGTGGCAGTCACACGTTTTACCAAAACCCAGATTTCCAGCACATTGACAGCCTTCTGTGAGTTATTTTAGCAGGTAGTCAAAGTCTGGGCTCTTGGCAGTTCACGTATTTTATCCTGTGAGATCCTAAGTGTCCACACCCTGCAGCAAAGCCTCCTCTTCCTCCTGAGGCTGCTGCCAGAGCCTTTACTTTTTTGGCAGTATCAGAGTACCCTAACAAGCACGGAACTGGGGCTGCCAGCAGCGTCCTGCATCCTCCCCGCGGCCCCAGTTTAGAACGAGGGTCAGCAGGTCTCCATCCACCCCTGCACGCACATCCTGTGCTCCCAGTGAGAGCTGGCGCGGCTCAGGCAGCCTTTTATGGCAGCTGCCCCGTGCTCAGCGTCCAACATAGCTGGACAAAGCTGCAAGTGAAACTGCAGCTGGTTCCCGAGCCTCCCCGCGGGCATCCGTGCTCCCCAGGCTGAGGCCAGGAGGCTGCAGTTCCTCTCACAAGAGCCAGGGATAAACCTGGATAAACCTGGCTCTCCCTCCTGGTCAGTCCCTGCTGCCTCTCCCCACCCAAAAGCCCCACGGGACGTGGTCTCGCGGGCATCTCGGCCACAGCCAGCAAGGAGCAGCCAGGCAAGGGGACAGCAAAATGGGAAGCTGACTTGCTCGAGCCTGAAGCACCATTAAAGGTCCTTCATGAAAACGAAGGTAAGATCCAGATCCAGGAAATCCCAAAGCTCCAGAAATAAAGATGCTGCGGCCGGACACAGGCTCATCTGGCAGGACTGCCTGCAGAGGAGGGAACCCCAAAGCCCTGGGACCTAGTCACCAAAACTAGGAACAGTTTCGATATGAGCACTCCCAAAGCAAGGCGGACACTGGGTTTATCAAACAGCTGGCGCTTCCAGTTCACGGGAAGCGTCGGCTTCTGTCCAATGCAGGCCAAAACCAAGTTGCTGAACCCTCCCGACACATCTACAAAACAACCCCCTTGTTTTTGGCTGGTTTCCTTGACGACACACAGAGATCTCTTGGGTAGGAACCAAGGAATGTGGTCTCAGACGAGCTCCTTCCTTTTCAGGCATCAACACTCAGCCTTATTATGCGGAGTAAAAGCCACAAACATCCTCTAGGTTCAGAGTAAACAGAAATCCTTCCATTTGCCACCGCATCTGCTAACCCGCCTTACAAAGTCGACTGGCACTCCATGCTTGGAGGCAAGAGAATTGCAATAAAACCTATTATAATCTATTATTTTTCACAGTAGGACCCCACATTAAATTTTATAGGGAAACATACATTATTCAGTACTACACATTAGGCTGGATCTTATTTTCTGAAGGACCCCCATTCAATTCAACCTGTTGAACTCTGCAGGGTAACAGCAGTTCCTCCCTGCCCTTTCGCTTCTGTGTCTTTAGAAACCGGTTCTTCATGGAAGTTCTCACACGGGACCTTTCCTTCCCCCCTGTAGTTCTTAGGGAACCCCACTGCTGTTGTGTAAGAGTCTCACAGCCCTCAGGGCGCTTCATCTCCAAGCTGCCTGCAGACCTGGACCGTTAATGCTATTACTCCGATAAGAAGAGAGGCAGAGAAGCTCCATGACCTGCCCAATGTCAATCACGTCCAACACAGGGCAGGCAAACCAGCTGCCAAACAGTTCTGGAGAACCATATAACGTTTTGTTTGGTCTCTAGTCTAAATTCCTGCTCCACGTGGGTCATCAGGCTGCTCAGGGCTCTGCTCAGCAAACTTCAGATAGCTCCAAGGATGGAGATGCCACTACTGCTCTGGGTCCCTGTTCTAGTCCTTGATGACCCTTATAAACAAAGCCTCTAGTAAGCAAAAACAATTAAACGTAGTGCAGTGGAAGCTATCCTTATATGGTACAGAAAGCAGGGACAGAGAAGGGGCAAAGTTCAGCTGCCTTGTCCCCGTGTCTCTCCCACTCTGTTTTCTGTTTAATGACAGATTCCACCACACTACATTTAGCTGTATTTGCTTCCTCGAGGCTCTCTGTGTGCCCCTACCTGCACAGAAAAAGCAGCTCCTTCAACTGCATCAAAACCAGGGCTTACCTAGAGAGGTTTGTCCCTCAACGGTTTCTTGCTGTCCCTCTTTGTTTCCTGCTCCATCCTAAGACCATCTCTAACTGTAAGATGCCTTTCTTGTTATTTCCACTATGCATGTGATACCTGATTTAGCACCCATCTGGTTTCTACCCCAAACTGAACAGAGCAGAACCAGGAGAACTGTGAGAATCCCTGCAAGCCAGCAGGTATTTTAAAAACGGAATGATCCCAGTCTGACCAAGCACTTCCCTGCAACAGGATGAGGAATAACTGTGGTAGCCCTTGGCGAGAAACAACGCTCTTGCTTATTTGCTTATTCTGATGCTGGGCTCTCGGGCTTAAATCTGCCACCCGCAGTACTCACGATCAAATTAATTCGGGCTGTGTGCTCTTATAAGCAACATAATAACGTTAAGCCAGGAGAAGCAGCACTTTGCTACCTGCCGCCTAAATGAGATGCGCCCTCTTCAAAGGATTTCCTCAGCCACAATGCCGAGTGCCTCAGGCACACATGTGGGTTCAGTCCATCAACTATTTAGTCGCATTTAGGTAACGGAACGTCAAATATCTCTTCCTGCTCCGGGAAAACATGTCACGTCCCAAAGCTGGAGACGGGGATTGGCAGCCACATAATCCCTGGGCCGCTGTCACCGCAGCACGCGGCCTGCCGAGCCCGGCAACTCGAGCCCGCTTCTTCAGCGCCGCAAAATAATCCGCTATTCCAACACGCCCGTGTCTTTATCACATACAGCCACCCACACAGCGCTTCATCCTCAACCTGAGGGGCGCTTCATCCTCAATTTGAGGGTCACGATGATCAAAGTTAGACCCTGGGTGGGGAGAAAAATCTGGCACTCGCTGCAAAGATGCCTGGAGCGGTAGACGCCTCACGCTGCTCGTGGGACGGGCACCATAATGAGCAGACAGCTGGTGTAATCACATCAAGAGGAGTTAAGTTGTTGCTGATCTTTCTTCTGCCTAATAGGGACCTAGTTCTGGAGCGTCTATCAATAGATCACTAATCCAGCGAGGTCGCGGCGCCCACAGCGAGCGGGACCCGCTCCTCGCGCGCGCGGCCGGCCGAGCCGCACCGCAGACAGGCCGTGGCCACGCCACGCGGCCGGCCCGCTGCTAAACCCACGGCCATTCCTACTTTCTGTTAGCTCACTGCCAAGCAGGATGGTGAGACACGGCAGTTACCCCAGCTCACATCCCAGTCTGATGTAGACATGAAACGGGACCCAGTCCTTTCCCCCTCGAGGGCACCCCGGCTCTAAAACAGACCACAGGCCTTGCACAGTGCTGCCCATCTTCCCGCCCTGATGCCCACTGAGCTGCTCACCAAGTTACAATCCCAAAGCTCAAAGAGAAGACAGGACAAGCGAAAGGAGAAGCTCCTTTTAGCATCACGGCCCAGAGCGAGGGGCAACCCCAGCAGTTACCTTCTTCCGGCGGCCCGTTTTGCTCATGCAGGACCTCTCCAGGGACAGGTAGCCACCAATCACTTCAATCTCATTCACAGTGGGGTAGCGCTTCTTAAGAGCGGTCCCTGTGTGCGACACGTCGGCGTTCTCCACAGCCTTGCCTTTTCCTTTGCCCTCCTCCTCCTCATCATCTTCCTCCCGCTGCAGCCGCCTGCCAGCCTCAGTCGCAGCCTGCGAGCCCGGGGCGACGGGCTTCCTTTTGGGCACTACAGTGAACGTGCTGCCCCCTCGCTGGTGGCCCGCAGGGACGGCGTGGGGCTTGTACACAGGCACGGAGGAAAACTCCATGCCCGGGTCAGGGGCAGCTTCTCGAGGCTGCTCCGCCACAGTCCCCGTCCTCGTGGCAGCAGCAGCCCTGGGGGAAAGCTCCCCGCTGTCCGGCTCCACAATGTCATCGATGTAAGTCACGGGCACCACCGGCTCGCGAGGCGCTGGCCGAGGGGCAACGGGCTCTTCCTGCTCCTTAGTGGGAGCCCTTGGAGGTTCCTGCTGGACCTTGCGCTCCGAGGGTGGCGGGGCCGGCCCCGCTCCGGTGCTCTGGGCCACAGGCTGTGGAGCAGGGGCCCCTTCCCGGCGCGGCACGAAGACGAAGGAGTTGCGCGAGTTGAGGCGCAGCTTGGCCAGGGCCTGCGCCTGCAGGTCGTGCGCAGGGATGGCTGCCAAGTCCGGCTTGGGGGCCGGCAGGATCTCAAAGGAGCCCCCGACCTTGGGGGCAGCGGCAGAAAGCGGCTGGCTCGAGCTGGTGGCACTGGGGACCAGAGTGGCACTGGGCGCAGGCGACACGGCCGCTTCGCCCTCCTCCTCCGGCTTTGGCCTCCTGGCGTTGGCTCTGGCATGGGAAGCGCTGGCGGATGGCACTGGCGGCCCCTTGGGCGGCAGAGTCCGGCTGGCGGCGGCCTCGGGGGCTCGGCTGCCGGGGGGCAGCCCCCGCGGGGTCACAGTGAAGGAGTTGGAGCCAATCTTGTGCAGGAAGCAGCTGCCTTGAGGGGCAGCTGTGCGGGGAGCCGTGGGCCGCACCGGGGACGCTCCAGCGGCGCTCGGCGGCGGCAGCGGCTGCTGCGGGGCAACAGCCGCTGCCGCCACCTTGGGCGCCGTGGCCGATGGGGAGCCCGGTGCAGCCCGCGGGGAGCTTGATGCAGCCGGTGGGGACCCCGGTGTGGGCCGCGGGGAGCCCGATGCTGCCGGTGGGGAGCTCGGTGCGGGCCGCGGGGAGCCCGATGCCGCCGGCGGGGAGCTCGGTGCGGGCCGCGGGGAGCCCGATGCCGCCGGCGGGGAGCCCGGCGCCGGTGCGGGTGCAGGTGCGGGCCCGGGCAGCGCCTCCCCTCCGCGCCGCCGCCGGCCCCGCGGCCTCTGGCCAAACTTCTCGAGCAGGCGGCTGACGGTGCCCGGCTCGGCCGCCTCAGCCGCCTCGGCCGCCTCGTAGATGAAGACGTGGTCGGCGCGGATCTCGGCGAGCGCGGCGCCCTTGCGGGCCAGCAGCTCC